AAAACTACGTGAGATCTCCCATAAAACTAGATGATTTGAAGGATTTTGAATTTTGAAAACATATACTTGAAACTGAAAAACTGAAGTCAGTTTCAATGTTACAAACAGATTTGATTAACAATTTTGAGCAATTAATTAATGTCTAAACATTGATCAAACCATCCAACCAATAGCATAGTATCAAAGTATAAACATCACACCAATTCATAGAACCAAAGTTGAACAAATTTTATTTATAAAAATTGATTTAATAATTCACCAAAATCTGAATTCCATAACTGATATTCAGGGACTTAGTCAAAATGGCTAAGTTTGAAAATTAGTATTGAATACAAACTTTGAGCTCAAATTTAAACATGTTTGATTTGGAAACACAAACAAACTTTGATTCTATATCAAAGAACATACTTTGAACTCCAGAGTTTATTTTAACAAAAAAAATTGTTTAAGAAATTTTCATTCCATAAAATCACAAAGAACCTTAACTAATGTTATAAGCAACATTTCATGTAACATATAAACATAGCATTGGCAACACATACATGCTATATTTGAAATATGCAATGCATTTATGGCACAAGGCTTGATGATTATGCATGATGATCAACATGATCAAGGTTTTACTAACTCAGATGAAAGAGACATGATTAACACTACTCATGCCTACTTTGAAAAAGTAAACATGCAAACAAAGTTTAGGTTAGGGCTCATGCTAGAAGAGTTAAACTCCACACCTTGCCACCACTTGACATATCTTGTTTAAGTCTAATCTCACCGCTTAGCCTATACTAACACCTGAGGTGTTACACCCAGAGCCGAACTGGCAACTGCCACGGGCCCCAACGTCTACGCTGCGGCCGCACGCTCTCATACAAAAAATTAACCCGGCAAGCTACGCTCACCGCCGCACCGTCCACGCGGCCTCCCGAACTAAGGGACGGTAGAGCTCCAACTTTAATTAAAACAGCTTCAGTTATAGTTTTACATTGGAGCGGCTTTACTTGATTTCAGTTTATTTGGACAGAGAAATGTTTGGTAAAATGGCTTGTCCGGTATGGAAAAAACGGTATATACCTGTAATACCCTCCTTTTTTTTTACCTTTTTCCTCTTTTTTCCTTTATTTTTTTATCTTCTCTTATTTCTCTCTCCATTTTATCTCTACCGCACGCACCACTTTCACTTTCACAGGCTTATATGTCCATACGCGGCCGTCCAAGAGCAAGCACGGTCGGCCACCAGAGGAGCCCGAGCATGCGCGTTTGGCCGGAGGAGGCCACTGGTGGAGGAGCGCGAGTAGCTAGGCCCCGTGCCCCTTCCTCCTCGACGTTGTCATGGTCGCGCTCGCGATGTCCGTATTCCTTCTCACCACCGAGCGGGTCTTTCCGGACATACGACCAAAAAAATAATAACTAAAAAGATAAAACTGGCAAAAAATAGAATTGGATGGGGTCTCTTTGGACGTATATGACTAAAAAATAAGTTTTCGTACTATCCAATTATTTGATTAGTTGGACCATTGTTTTTTCTAAATCTTTAATAAGAATCGGTACGTTATGTTTTTAATCATAACTACATCGATACTAGCCGGTCGTACATTGTTAGGAATCTTTGTTTCTTTTGATTTGACTAGTAAAATTGCCCGTACGTTGCAGCGGGGAGAAAAAACTATCAAATATATTCATTGCAAACAACAACGAGAGAATAGTATATATATATATATATATATATATATATATTTATGTTTAACCCCCTTCATACAATTTAAAAGTTTTCTCGTTGCAAAACACAAAAGTATCTAGACATAAATATATAGTAACTTCAATTTTCTAAACAACTAACTCCTGGCTAACTTTAATTATAGGAGTAACAGATAATAATAACATAATATGGGCATGTTTGGCTAGGCTCCGCCTGCGCCGCTCCTTCGCTAAATCCGAAGCCGAAGCTGGAGCGGCAGAGGTGCAAATCACAACTTCGCCTCCTTAGGCAAAAAGGGTTTCGGCTCCTCCTCCCGTCGTCGCGTAGAAACGATCCTCCTTCTGTCGCCATTTGGTGCGGTGCTCCTTCACTGAATTCGAAGCCAGAGCCGGAGCGGTAGAGCGGCAAATCATGACTTCACCTCCTTAGGCCTCCCGTCGCGCAGAAGCGATCCTCCTTCTGTCGCCATTTGGTGTGGCTCTGCTGCCGCAGAGCAGGAGCCAGAGCGGCACAAGCACGACCTAAATATCTTTATCTATACCTAATATACACAGCGCACGGGTGATGCGGAAGCTCAGGCAGCACGGCGTGGCGTGGTCGGCTCGGCTAGACAAGTGGCGTGGCAGGGCGGTAGCTCGGGCAGGTGTTGCAGGAGGCCGGTGGCTTGATCTAGTGGCACGACAGCGCAGCTCCAGCGTCCGCGTTACCGAGAGGTAGCACCAAGACGGCAGGCTCATATGGTTTGATTTCGTATGTGATCGTGTCAATTTATTCTTAATTTGCTTCTCTTGTACATGAGTCATCGCTCTTGTCGGTTCACTGTGTATTAGAATGAAAAAAAAAATCCCCAAAAAAAGAAAAAATAATAATAAGGAAAACACAAAAGGTGCGTACATGAGCTAAGAGCTCCTGTCGAATATCAGTTCTAGCGGCTAGATCTCCGTCCCTACGGGTGCTTTCCTATTTTATTATTTATTGATTTGCTTTTTCGTCCATTAATTAATGTATATATCCAATTCTTTTCCAACTTTTCATCTTCTATTGTGTCACGTTTGTGTTTGTTTAGTTTGTTTTGGAAATGGACTTCGTATCGTGCTAAACAATAGTTAGTCTAACTTGTATGAGTACGGATTATTATATATAAGTTTGGACGGAAACTCTCCATTGTTCTGTAGTTAGGGAGAGATGGACAAAAAAAATAGATGGACGGAAAAAAATAGCCGGAAATTTTGTCTCTTTAGTATTAAATATAAATATAGATATAGATATAGATAACGGAAAAAGGAAGTTGTGTGAAGATGACATAACAAAGATCCTACTTTTTGTCAATCAAAAGATAGAAAACAGAAACCTAATTGGTCCAAACGTTTCAGCAGGGTAAAACAAAAATATTGCATTGTAAATTCTGAACAGTGCAATGCAACATAAAAAACAACAAGCATGACATCATCATTGTATTTGATCCATTAATAACTAATACTAATATGGCAAGGCGCACGGCTGGCGAGTTCCAGAAAAAGAAATCACGGACTGACCTGACCGCCTGGGCTGCACCTGCGCGTTTGCGTTACAGGAAAAGCAATACAGGGGACGTCAAACTTCATTTTACAGGGGTATTGATCATAACTCCCTTGTGGCGTGTGTATGTCGAATCGGATCAGAGCAGTGCAGTTTGGAATCAGAGATACATGTATAGGAAACCAACTCGAGTCATTCCGCTGTCCAACTTGAACTCGAGCTACGACGATGATGAACTAAAACCGGACTCCAAAACATAGGGATACCAGACGTACCAAAACTGGACTAACGGACAGAAAATTAGAAATAAACCAGATCGAAATTGGACATACCCAGATTACTCAGGACTTATAGGATCTATTTGATTAGGATTTGGATTCTTATCTATCCAACTTACCTCAAGAAGACCTACCTATATAAAATAGGAGAGTTGTGGAGAGACGGACAGAAATAGTTTTTACATTCACAAAATTAGTTAGAGAAGGTCATACCAAAATAATGTGTAAAAAAAAACAGCGAAAATTTTGTCTCTTTATTATTATTATTATTATTATTATTATTATTAGATATAAAGATATATATATATATATATATATATATATATATATATTAGCGTATTCCAAAACAAGACTACGTACTGTAATTTTTAGCCATGTTGATCAAACACCTTGGCCACACATTGAGCCGACAGGAACATACTGTACACTAGCTGACCCGTTCCAGGGGTGCCGGCACAGAAGCCAGGGTAAATTTTTTGCTAAATGTTACTGTATTATTTTCGTTGTTATTTGGTAATTAGTGTCCAATCATAGTCTAATTAGGTTTAAAAATTTCGTCTCGTGATTTTCGTCTAAACTATGTAATTAATTTTATTTTTTATTTATATTTAATACTTTATACATGCGTTTAAAGATTCGATGTGACAGAAAATCTTAAAAAATTTGACAAAATAAAGCGCAGCTAAACAGGGCCAGTACACCATGCCCAAACCCCCGAAAGAGCCAACAGGACGCGGCAGACCAGGACTCGAAAAGCCGCGGGAACCAAGGCCCGAAGACGGGTGGTGGTGAACTGCGCACTGCACTGTACCCCGTGCAAGCGGGCGCGGCGCCCGACAAGACCCGCGCGCGTTCTAACCCGATTAATTGGTTTCTTTTTCTACCCAAAACAATACTGTATTTTTCTCTAATAAGCGCGTGTTTAGTGCTACCCAAAATCCAAAAAAGTGCTACAGTATTATATCGAATCTTACGATACATACATAGAGCATTAAATATAGACGAAAAAAAACTAATTGCACAGTTTGGTTGGAAATTACGAGACGAACGTTTTGAGCCTAATTAGTTCATGATTAAACACTATTTACCAAATAAAAACGAACATGCTATAATAGCTCAAATTCTCAAATTCAGACAACTAAACACGCTCTAAATTCCTCCATCCACGTCATCTAGACAGGCCCTTCCGCTCGCCCCGTGCCGTGCGCTCTGCTGCAGCCCGCAGCGCGCGCAGACGGGCAGGCCTCAGGGCTCAGGGTCGACTGGTCGTCGAGTCGGGCTCGTGTCAAATCAAATCAAATCAATCACCGCTCGCCTCCGTCCGCGTCAGTCGAAATCGCATCGAACCATCCGTCCTCCCTCCTGCGCCGCTCGTGGCGTGGTTTCGCTGCGCATTCGCGACGTCTCTCTCTTGCAGGTACCGTAGCTGTTACCGGCCGCTGCCCTCTGCGCCTCGCCGTGCCGTGTGTGCACCGGTGGCCGCCACGTGGCGGCGAGGGAGGGAGATGGCGTCGGCGGGCCGCTGGGCGTGGATGGCGGAGGTGGCGGGCGAGGAGCTGGCGAAGCTGGAGGCGGCGCACCCGGGCCGCTTCGGCCCGCTCAAGGCCGAGCTCGAACGCCTCGTCGCCGACCCCGGCTTGGACGAGGCAGCGTTCCCGCTCGTCTCACCGCGCGCCGGTACCACTCCGGCCGCCTCTTCGTCCCTGCTTGCTGCTGCTCCTTCGCGCACGGTGCCCGTGTGCACTCAAGGTTCGTCCTCCACGTGCCTCCGCCGCTCTATGCCATGTCACTTCTGTCCCGTCCCGTGCCACGGTGCCAGTGCATGATCCAGCCATCAGCCGTGGCCACTCGGCCGCTCCACTCACCTTGCGACGAACTTCTGCAGAGTCGTCGACCCGGAAGAGAAAGCCGCGCGGCAGCCGGGAGGAGGTGAAGCGGAGACGGCGGCCGAGCGCGCCGCCGGGAGGGACGAAGGACGGGGCCAACTTGGCCATCGAGCGCGCCCAGCGGTGCCCAGAGAGGATCCGCGCTGTCAAGCAGAGCTTGCTTGCCGCTTGGATTCACTGACGGGATGCAGGGGTGGATGTGGATGGAGAAACGAGAGCAGGAACAAGGAAAAACTCGGGCCATGGAAAGGGAAACCCCCCCAAAAAAATCACCTTTTAACGATCGAGAGCCTCTTTTTTGGTTATTGGAAAGTGAGAATGGTATTGTTCATGGGGGAAAAGTTGGTTCTCCAAGATTACAGAGCCCTGTGTACTAAGTAGAACTGCCCTTGTACGCCATGTCGCGGATTAAGCTGAACTGCGCAAATAGTAAAGCGGGCTAATATGCCTCGCTCAATCGAACTGTACCGCTTACATCTCGTTGATCAACCGATTCATCAAGCCGATTGATTTTCCATGCGCATTGAGAAGAATTGTGATACCGATTGGTGATTGGTTCAAATCATTTCCGCCGATACCATCTAATGCCCAACATCAGCTGACTTAGTTGCAGATAAGCCGTAGGATCAACATGTACACGGCTGGCCGGCAAATTTTCAAAGAGTTATGCCAAAAGTAAAACTTGGAAATTTAAGCCTATTCCAGGTCCTAGCCGCACCGAATTCATAGTATTACCTGGTCACAATATATAGCAAGTAAGATATGATGCTCATATTGATGCAACAAACGTCGTTCCTTAATTGACCAAGCGAGAGCTAAGCGAGTTACACGACTCGAGATCCTGTTTTGCTGTGAACCTAACCCTCACCGGATCTAGATCACATTCATTTATCTTGGTCAAGCTTTTAGCTCTTTCCTCCCCTATTTTTTCATGATTTAAGCAATTAACTCGTATAGCTTCAAGTAATGATAATTTTCACGTACTCGACTTCTACCGTTCTAAGCATGCTAAACATGAATAATGCACTATGCAAGTAAACAAGCAACACTTCAAGCTTGATATGAATGAAGAAGGAATGAAAGTTAAACATATTGCATCTAAGTCATCGCATACATACATAACATGCAAGTACATAGCACATATTCAAGTTATGCTTGGAGAAAAGAGACAAGGATGCTTAGGTTGGTACCTTATGGTTAAGTGGGGGGGATCGGGGAGTTCAGGTTCAGCCACAAACTCGCCTTCCTGCTTAACGAGTGCCTCCTAGGCTGCCTCCATCCCTACACGAGTACAATCAAAGACAGCATGAAATGCAATTTAACCTTTTTTGGGGTGGGGGCACTACAAATTTTCTCAAAAATTGATTGAATTTGAAATTTTTATTGGAAACTATACGGATTTAGTAGGGTCTTGGCCCCTCCTTGTCCTATCTCTCTGCCACTGAGTACAATGATGCACAAGTAAACATGATACTTATGATCTACAATGCTTGTTCATGAACAAGATGGAAATACATTATGCATAGTTTGGAACTTAATTAGGGACTATAAGTAATGCTAGAGGGTTAGGACAATACCATGGCCGCTGGACTATCCACCCCTGAAAGGTCCTAATATGGCTAAAGGGGGGTGAATAGCCTATTTAAAAATCTACAAATCAACTAGAGCAATTTGATTAGTATAACAAATAGCGAAACGCAAACTTGCTCTAGCTCTACAAGGGTTGCAAGCCACCTATCCAATAATTCTAGTTGCTATGATCTCTAGACACAATTTTCTATGTCACTACTCACTAAGAGCTCTCACACTTGCTACACTAAAGAGCTCTACTAGATGAACTTAAAACAACAAAGCAAGCTCTCAATTCTAATTACACTAAAGAGCTGGCTACAACTAGTTTGCAAGAATATAAATGAGTGAGTAGAGTGATTATACCGCCTTGTAGAGGACTGAACCAAGCACAATATGAATACCAAATCAATCACCAGGAGAATACCAAAGGGCAAGAGACAACCAATTTTTCTCTCGAGGTTCACGTGCTTACCGGCACGCTAGTCCCCGTTGTGTCGACCAACACTTGGTGGTTCGGCGGCTAAGAGGTGTTGCACGAACCTCGTTCACACAATTGGACACCGTAAGAACCTACCCACAAGTGAGGTAACTCAATGACACGAGCAATCCACTAGAGTTACCTTTCGGCGCTCCGTCGGGGAAGGCACAAGACCCCTCACAATCACCATGATCGGAGTCGGAGACAATCACCAACCTCCGCTTGATGATCCTCGCTGCTCCAAGCCATCTAGGTGGCAGCAACCACCAAGAGAAACAAGTGAATCCCGTAGTGAAACACGAATACCAAGTGCCTCTAGATGCAATCACTCAAGCAATGCACTTGGATTCTCTCCCAATCTCACAATGATGATAGATCAATGATGGAGATGAGTGGGAGGGCTTTGGCTAAGCTCACAAGGTTGCTATGTCAATGCAAATGGCCAAGAGAGTGAGCTTGAGCCGGCCATGGGGCTCAAATAAAAGCCCCCACGAAATAGAGCCGTTGTACCCCTTCACTGGGCACAACACGGGGTGACTGGACACTCCGGTCAGTTCGACCGGACGCAGGACCCCAGCGTCCGGTCGCCCGATGTTTGCCACGTGTTATCGACTTCAAACGCCGATCGCCCGATCTCAACGGTCAAGTGATGACCGGGCGCGTCAGTTAGAAAGTGACCGGACGCAGGACCCCAGCGTCCGGTCGTTTCCAGAAAGGTTCCAAACGCGAAATTTTACGACCGGACGCGTCCGGTCATGCTCGACCGGACTCACCCGGCATCTGGTCACTCAATGTTTCCTCTGTGCGCCTCACGTCAGCGTACGTCAGCACTGACCAGACTTAGACCATGAGCGTCCGGTCAGTTTACACGCCAGCGTCCGGTCACAGGACCGAGACCGTGTGCTTACTGCTGTCACTGATCGAACTCTAAACCCAGCGTCCGGTCACTGCACCATCAGCGTCTGGTCACTCTATGAATCCCTGTCTTTTCTGTATAGGGCACCGGTGGCACCGTCGGACTGTCTGCACTCTACGGGCGGACACTCCGCCGGTGAAGTTTCCTACCCTTGCTCAAATGTGCCAACCACCAAGTGTATCACCTTGTGCACATGTGTTAGCATATTTTCACAAGCATTTTCAATGGTGTTAGCACTCCACTAGATCCTAAATGCATATGCAATGAGTTAGAGCATCTAGTGGTACTTTGATAACCGTATTTCAATACGAGTTTTACCCCTCTTAATAGCACGGCTATCTAACCTAAATGTGATCACACTCGCTAAGTGTCTTGATCACCGAAATAAAATGGCTCCTACTATTTATACCTTTGCCTTGAGCCTTTTGTTTTTCTCTTTCTTCTTTTTAAGTTCAAGCATTTGATCATCACCATGCCATCACCATCGTCAAGATATTCGCCATTGCTTTATCACTTGGAGTAGTGCTACCTATCTCATAATCACTTTGATAAACTAGGTTAGCACTTAGGGTTTCATCAATTAACCAAAACCAAACTAGAGCTTTCAATCTCCCCCTTTTTGGCAATTGATGACAACCCTTACACAAAGATATGAATTGAAATTTAATTGAATCCATGTTGCTTGCCCAAGCATATTTACCATGTGTGAAAGAATATGGACAAGTTTTATGAACTCCAAATAGTAGCAATTTCTCTCCCTACATATGTGCTAAGAGTTTGGATTGTAGCTTGCACATATGCTTAGATAGGAAATATAGGAGACAATTTCTATCAAATGATGCTAAGGTATAAGAGATGGACCTTTGAAGCGTGATACCAATCAGAGTGCACCAATATACCATCCTTAGCACCATTAGTAACTAGACATACACAAAAACTAGAATATCCCATGAGATCAACATTACAAGCAAGGGTCTAGTTTTCATATGATGAACATAAGTCTAGTTACTTTAGCCTATGCATGCTAGTTTTTCATTTTACCATTCAAGCATATAGCTAGCATACACCACACAAGCATGGATATTGAAATTTAAAACTTGTGCCATGCAAGCAAATATATGAAATGCACATTCAAATACAACATACAAGTTTATGAGCTTGCTCCCCCTACTTGTGTGCATTTTTTATTGATCCTCTTACAATGTCATTTCATTTGTTTGCTCCTCCTATCTTACTATCTTTGTGAATTTCTCTCCCCCTTTGTCAACAATTAGCACAAAAGGTGAGCTCAAATTATAGATAGGTTGGGGTGAAATCATGTGAAATGAGGATCATTTTCTCAATTTGGTTCAATCTAGATTACTTGCGAAAGATATTTAACTCGGTTTGATCCAAGGACAAGCTTCTTCACACCTCCAAATAAGGGTTATCTTGTACCATATTGAGTTAAACACTTATAGCTTATTTTCTAGATCAAACACTAGGTTTACAAGCCCACAAACATGTCATATGCTACCACTAGATCATTTCAAGCATACAAGCAATAGTGGTACCATACAAGCATCAAATTCATTTGATTTTCATGAATGAGCCTATTCAAATGTGAAATATGTCTAGATGCACTAAACATGTCCTTAGCAAGGTTGTATGTCATGCCAATCAACTTTTACCTTGGATTGCTCGAAGGAGAGGCGTGTCATATAATGGGGGTGCATCAACACATATTGGAGAAGTCAAGTATGTTCAATTCATTTCTTAGCTTGCAAAACCTCTTTTCATCAAGTGGCTTGGTGAAGATATCGGCAAGTTGATCTTCGGTGCCCACACTCTCAATGCAAATGTCCCCCTTTTGTTGGTGATGTCTTATGAAATGATGGCGGACATCAATGTGCTTTGTTCTTGAATGTTGAACCGGGTTGTTGGTGAGCTTTACGGCACTCTCGTTGTCACATAGCAATGACACTTGCTTGAATTTGATTCCAAAATCACTCAAAGTAGCCTTCATCCAAAGTAATTGAGCACAACAACTACCGGCCGAAATGTAGTCCGCTTCGGCAGTTGAAAGTGCTACACTATTTTGCTTCTTTGATGACCAAGACACAAGTGATCTTCCCAATAGTTGACATGTGCCCGAAGTGCTCTTTCTCTCAACTTTGCATCCCGCATAATCGGAGTCCGAATATCCAATCAACTCAAATCTTGCTCCTTTGGGATA